ATTGTCCGGTTGACGGCACCCGGAGGAGGCCCAACCTGTGCGATCTTGTTGGTCGTTGGGAGGTAAGTGGCAGGAGGCATGGAGCACATGTCTGACGTGTGTGTGAGCAAAGCCAGCGTGTGTGCACAATTTTTTTGTGCGCACCGAACTGGCAGTAATGCCAGTAACTATCCATCCCTGTCCTGATCCAAGGACAGGTAGAGCAGAGAGGAGACAGGGACAACGCTGGTCAGCTAGATTACTCATAAGGAGGCAACCTCACCTCTCATGAAGGGCTGTACCAGCATAACCTTCTTAACTCTGCTCTGAGGACTTGAGTGTTGCTGGAGCAACGTGCCCAGTTCTGTGCCTTGAGTGCTTGTGTCTTGTATCCTGGCCTGTTTGACTCTTGGACTGCTTTCCTGGGCACTGTGTGTGCCCATTGAACTTAGTTGCCCAGTGATTCTTGTTGTGCTGAATTTGGAATCTGGACCTGCACCACAGTGGTGCTTTCCAAGGACTTATTTGGGGTGGTGGTGGTAGATAAACACCTGTAGAACTCTTTGCCCTATGTGTATGTGGGGGAGTAGGGCAGCACACTTTCAGATAAAATTTATTCTACATCTGTCATTTCTACCATATATTTTCTATATCTACCGTGTTTCCCTGAAAATAAGACAGGGTCTTATTTTCTTTTGACCCCCAAAATAAGTGCTTGGCCTTATTTTCGCAGAGGTTTTATTATTTTTGAGGTGCAGGAGGCGGCGAGCATAGTCATCTCATGGCTGATGCTGTGTTGCAATATTTTTGGGAAAGGCTTATTTTCAGGGGTGGTTTATTTTCAGAGAAACAGGGTATAGAGGCATATATCATTACTTACATGATTGATGCTGTTATTATTTTCTGATTTTATTCTTTAAAAGTCTTAAGTATTTTTAGTTATGCTTTGCAACATTTTACAGGTTTACAGTAAATCTTTAACCAGGAATTTTAGTCTTCTACATTTTTTTTAAATCATGAAATTGCTTATTGTTGATGTTTCTTATCTATTTCCCACGAGAAACTGTTCTTTGTAATTAATCCAAAACATATTGTAGACGTTTCAATATTCCATTTTTATCTGGATCCTTAATCTGTTTATAATGTTCGAAGATTAAAATCATAGTTAACATTTTGCTGTGTATTTCAAAATCTTTAAATTCTTAAGCTTATGATTCAAAATGTCCTTTTATTCATGACTGAAGACAGACTTACCTAGCTTTTTCAAACTTGCACTTCCAAAGGTTTCTAATAATTCAGAAGTAATTAATGAGCAATCTTTGAAAGTAAGGTTTGCAGAGGTGGGTTCCTACCAATTCGAACCAGTTTGGACGAACTGGTAGTAAATTGGAAGCCTGGGTCACGGGAACCAGCAGTGACCCAGGCCTACCATACCCCCGAACCGGTTCTCTCAGTGGCGCCATTGGTGGCGCCATCTTGTTTTTGCCTTCTCTGCATGCACAGAGCAATTTTGGTTGCACTGTGCATGCGCGTGTGTGGGGCGCGTCCTTGAGCGAACCGGTAGTAGCAGCAGCCAGAACCCATTCCTGGAGGTTTGTGAACTGAGAGTCTTTTCAAAATCTTCTCCATGGTTGCAAGCAAATGGCTAACCCTGTTGTCCCCTCGTGCTTAAACTCACAGAAAGCCACTGTCCTGCTGTAGTCTCTTTGAAAGGAGCAGCTATCCAGTGCACATGTGGGTGATCTCCTTTCCTCTCCTTATCTGGAGAGATTCCATAAAACCAATCTATTCACTGGTCCTTTGCTTTTTCTACTTTCACAGAGCCACCTTCAGTTTGCATACCCTACTAGAAGGCCTTCATCATCGCTAGGATAGAGGATTGCTATTCCATATTGGGCTACCTTTCAAAATCAAAGGGATATTTCAACTCAAAACATCAAATATTGTTTTTGACATTTAAGGCTCTAAATGATTGATCTCTAAGTACATGTAACACTCCAGAACCAATATATTCCACCGTATTTGTCCAAAATCAATATTTTGGAATCGTAAAGAAACCCAGCTCTCAAGAGATGGGATTGGAAGGAACAGTGATGTTTTCCTATGGTGATCCCAACGTCATGAAATTGTGTCCCTCTAAAAGTTAGGCTAGGACAGTGATGGCTAACCTTTTTGTTCTTGTGTGCCGAAAGTGTGCACGCACCCATAATGGAATGCATGCCCCTCACACCCTGCGCATGTGCACACAACCCCCTGTGTTCGCCCTGCCCCACTGCACAGGCATGTATGACACTCCTGCACTCCCCCTGCCCCCTGCACATGTGGATGTGACCTCCTGCGCTCCCCTCACCCCCCGTGCAGGTGTGCACCACCACCCCATGTGCCCCACCCCTGCACATGCACACATGTCTCCTGTATGCTCTCCACCACCACCACCCCACACATGTATGGCAGAGACCCGAAAGCCAGCAGGCCAATGGGAGGCGCACACGCATTCATGGTAGAGCTGACTTGGGGTGGTGGCTCTAGCCAAAGGTTTGCCATCACGGGGATAGGAGTATGTCTGGCATTTTTCTGACAACCCGTGATGATAGAGATATGCTGCAGAGCCCTTGGAAGCTGAAGCTGCCCAATGTGTGGTTGACACCATCTGATGTCTATTATGATTGTGGACTATAATTATTGCTTGCATGTTATTCTGATCCCTGCTTGTTGAATATGCTGGTTTTTCCCACTGTTTCTATTTTTAATGCTTTTTTTTTAAAGAAAAAACTAAACATCCATTGAGTCATAAGGTGATTCTGGAAGTATGCAAGTGAAATCAATCAACAATAAATTATTATTTTTTTTAAAAAAAATTCATCTAGACCACAAAATTGGAAAAAAGAACCAAAATCAATGTCTGTGAGATTCTGTTATCCCTGTCATGGTTGCCACAAAGGTGCTTTTTCAAAAGACAACTGATTTTGTTGGATTTTTTCATCACAGAAGAAGATTCTTGGATAAGAATGTTTTCAAGTAAAAATCCAAGAAAGTCCAGTTGCCTTTTAAAAAGCACTTTTGGGACAACCAAAATTAATCTACACAGTGATTCACTTAATAACTCACAAAAATAAATTGGACACCTTTCCACTATAATGTGAAGTAAAACATTTTTTTTTCCATATCCCCCAAGAGAGTGGGTTGAATTTTCCCAATTCCATGTTTCATTCCCGTTGGCCAAGTAGTGAAAAGAAGCTCTCCAATCTCATAAAATGATCGGGGAAAGAAATATGTGGTAAATTCTTACAAACACTAGAGCCCACATGGATTAGGGCAGTGATGATGAACATTTTTCTGCTCAGGTGTCGTGCACGTGCATGATAGTGCACACATGCGTGCCCACACCCCTAATGCAATGCCCTCCCCTTGCGCATGTGCACACAACCTCCCTGCACTCCCCTCTTCTGATAGGCCCGTTGGGCCATTTTTCGCCCTCCCCATCCTTCAGGAAAGCCTCCGGGTCCTTGCAATGGGCTTACTTGAAGTTCGGAAGCAAACTTCCAGTTTTCTCATTAGGTCATTGAGGAGGCTTTCCTGAAGACTGGGGAAGGTGAAAACTGTCTCCCCAAACCCTCTGGAAGGCCTAAAATTAGCTGGACAGGAGGTGCACGTATGCTGGAGCTGACATAGCACAACGCCTTGCATGCCCTCAGATATGGCTCCGTGTACCACCCATGGCACATGTACCATAGGTTTGCCATCACGGTTTTAGGCTGTCTCAGTGTAGAAGGCCTTCTCTCAGTTTATGATTTCATGGTGACCCTAAATAAAGCAAGGTAAGATGTGCTTCAAAGCTTCCATAATTTAAACTTCTCTCCAGTTGCCCAAAAAATTAGGACTATCGAAGCACAAAATGATATAGCTATCCTTAATAAGGTGTGTAACTTGAAATGGCTGAGTAAATACTAGCGTACTTTTCAAGTAGACAGCTAGTTGAAGTTACAACTGCCAAAACATCTTAGGGAGATATTTACACGAGCTAGATTCGAACAGCTTGACACAATGGTCAGATATGGGAGATTCCATTCTGTACCCTACAATGAGCGTCTCTGTAGTTGCGGAGCAGCAAAGGTAGAAGACCTGGCTGACATCCTTTTTGACGGTTGCTTGTATAAGGGAATGAGAGACAGGCACCTTGATCTGTATACCAAACAAATGATCCATTAGGATCCCCATATCAAAACAATTTATTTGTGTGGCCAGAACTGGAAAATAACATTTAATGCAGCACAATACTTAAGCAAAAAGGTTCAGTTGAGATCTGCATATGTGGGACTGAGTGGGGTAGATTGCAGGGGTGACTCCGAAATACAATTTTATCATATTTTATCTATATCTTAAATTATTGTATTTTATTCCAATTCCATCTTAAATGGTATTTTATTCCAATTCCATCTTAAATTGTGTTTTATTCCAATTCCATTTTAAATTGCATTTTATCAAATTTCATTTTAAATTGCATTTTATCAAATTTCATTTTAAATGGCTTTAATCAAATTTTAGCAAAGATTTGTTTTTAGAACTTTGCACTTTGATATGGCCCAAGGGCTAATCAACTAAGACTCAATGTCAGCTTCTCTCCAACTCTTCTAAGTGGGTAATCGTCCTTTTAAACTGCAGTGGCACACAATTGTGGTTCAGACCATACAGCAGAGATGCTGCATAGAAGTTCCATTAACTGAGCTCTATCTGCTTTCAGTCAAACAGATGTTGAGATTAGAATTGAAGGCTGTTGTCTGTTTTTGACCCAGGAACAGATGTCTCTTCTTCCTTGTAGTTCAGAGCTGATTCCACCCACCCACCCACACAAAACATGTTTTTTAGCAAGCAGAAACCTTTGGCTTTGTGATTGTTAATGTTACTTTCCTCCTCATTCATTTTACAGAGGATAAACTTCAATTTGCCAAGACATCGGGAGACAAGAGATATCTACCAGAGATGCAACTGCCCAGCAGGTAAGAAACAGACATGGTGGGGGGGGGGGGAGATGATGACGATGATGATCGCTGGATAGATACAAGAGCAAACATGTATTTAACAAGGTTGAAAAAATTATTTCTTCATTGGCTTCCATGAATTGTGTTACAACTTTCAGGATAGTGTCTCCTTGGCAACCTCCAATAACAGAAAAAAATAGAACAATAATACAACATATATTCATTCCATGGTAATCTCAAACAGCAAGATAGAAATCAGCCAAGATTTGGGGGGGGGGAATACCTTTGAGGCTTGTCGTTGAATTTCTCACAAATGGGTGGCCTGTTGAAACTCCACAGAAAAGGCATTTCAGTTGTCCTTTCCATAGTGATGGTGTGTCTTTTGTTATAGCTGTACTGATATAATCCTTCTGCCTTAAGAGTAGGGAAGTCTGCAGGGAGGGACAAAAAAAGTCAAGATAGTAGCTGTGACTGCACAATTGAAGCCCCAACTCTTTTTCTCCCATGCATTGATAACCCCGTAAAGATTTGGGCTTATGAAATGTCTTAAAGTATCAACTTGTCTTCCTAAGGAAATGTGGGAATAGTCTCAACATATGGTTACTGCTAACATCAAAAATCAGAAGTGCTGGAGGAGTGGTCTAGCATAGACCTTCCTTAACTCAGGCTAAATATTGTGATTCGGTTTGGGGAAAATGCTATTGTGGTTGAAGGAGTAGTTGGTTTAGGATCCTAAAGGAATAAGCTGGAGAGTATCCAGGAAAGTTTGGGATCAAGATGTCACCCCTCCTATCATCCTTCTGGAAATGATCAGCTAATTCCATTCTTTCTATAAACTTGGAATTAAGAGAAATGCATGATTGTGATAGAGGTGGTTTGTGATGTTTCACTAACTTCTGGACAGTTGACTACCTAGGAGGCTAAAGAGAAGCTTGTCTAGGGATGGGATTCAGCCGGTTTGGACCAGTTTGGGCGAACCGGTAGCTAAGAGGGAACTGGTTCGTTCTGACAATCAGGTTGGCTCGCCCGTCCTTGCGCATTACTTACCTGTATCCTCTCAGCTGATTAGCAAAGCAGAGCGGATTGCCGCACTTCAGCTGTGTTACTCCCCAAGAAGTAACATGGAAGGTATGTTTTGGTAAAACTGCGCATGCGTGAAACATGTGATCATCAAACCGGTTATTAAATCGGCAGGATCCTACCGCTGAGCTTGTCCATGTGTCTGTGGCTGGACTCTGGTAGCTCTTGATTAAAAAAAGCAGTGAAATGAAAAAAAAAACCAGGAAGGAACATTTAAAAAGAACAAGAAGAAAGCCATGTGATGGCTCCCATGTTCCCAGTTCAGGAATTGAAGATCAAACCACAAAACACATCAAGCTCTTTGCACTTCCTTAGGCTCTTCTGGACTTTTAACTGTTTTTAATACTACTTCTATTATAAACTACCTTGGAAATATAGCAAAAGGTCAGGGGTGGGATTCAGCCGGTTTGGGCCGGTTCAAGCAAACTGGTAGCTCTAACAATCAGCTGGGAGTGAACCAGTTCACTCTGATGATCAGGTCAGCCTGCCCGCCCCTGCGCTTTACTTACCTATATCCTCTCAGCTGATTAGCATGGCAGAGCTGATTGCCGCACGTCAGCTGTGTTACTCCCCAGATGTAACGTGGAAGGTAAGTTTTGCTAAAACCGCATGCACGCAGAGCAAAACGTGATCACCAAAACTGTTGTTAAACCAGCAGGATCTCACCACTGCAAAAAGGCAAATATAAATAAATGAAATAAGTTCTGTGATTTTGTGCATGTGAAACATTTGGTATTATACAAAGAATTTGGGAGCCTAAAAATCTTAAAGAGTGATGAATCCTTTCTCTTCCCCTTCCTGACAAACATGTTATTGAACATAGAAAGATAGGGAATGTCCCATTAATGCAGCACAAGATCCATTTAGACCAGAGTTTGGCTTCCAAAATGGTCACAGGATACCAATAAGGAACACCTATAGGCAAGTTAGATTAAAACTTTCCTCTGTATCTACTAATTTCCCCTAGCCATTGGTATCTAGATCAGTCTTCCTCAACCGTGGCACTTTCAAGATATGTGGACTTCAACTCCCAGAATTCCCCAGCCAGCAGAGCAGCTGGGGAATTCTGGGAGTTGAAGTCCACACATCTTAAAACTCTTAAGATTGAGAAACACCAGTCGAGAGGCACAAAACCTCTAAATATCTCTCAACAAATAGTAAATGTCATTTCTGAGGGACACGGTGGCTCAGTGACTAAGACACTGAGCTTGTCGATCAGAAAGGTTGGCAGTTTGGCTATTCGAATCCCTAGCACTGTGTAACTGAGTGAGCTCCCATACCTGTCCAAGCTTCTGCCAACCTAGCAGTTCGAAAGCACATAAAAATGGAAGTAGAAAAAATAGGAACCACCTTTGGTGAGAAGGTAACAGCGTTTCATGCCAGCCACATGACCACGGAGATGTCTTTGGACAGTGCTGGCTCTTCGGCTTTGAAACGGAGATGAGCACCGCCCCCTAGAGTCGGGAACGACTAGCACATATGTGCGGTGGAGGGGGGGGGGAACCAACCAAATGTAATTTTTAAAAAACTGTAACAGAGCAAAGCGCTAGGAATCAAGATTAACGACAAATGGGAAATTAAGCCTTATATCTGGAAACAGAAGAAAATGTATCCCTAAGTGAATATTATATTGGCTATCCAACCATGAAAAGTAAATCACTTAAAAGCAATATTTCTCTTACATTTCTTGAAGTCTCAATATAGATTGAGTCTTGTTTCCATCCCTAGCCAGGATTTTTGTTCGGTAAAAATCAAATTGACACTCTTCTGTTCTCATGTGTATAGTTTTCTTTCATTCTGCATTTAGTACCTGCAGAAGTACTATATATCCCATTACCAGTAGCTTTGACATGCAGACTAGGTAATTGCCAGCAACAGCAAACATCAAGGGGTCCTAGAGAAGAAAGTTGCACACAAAAAAGGGAGTCCTGGAATAGGCTCAGGTTCAAGAAGAGAGCCAACCAGTTTTGGGAAAGCACATAATAATTCAGAATTCTTAACTGCATCCAACCACTTGATTACTTCCAAACTCTTGACTAGGTACCAAGCCAGGAAACTGGAAATAGAAGGAATATTGGGGAGGAAAGTGCTGAAATAGTTGATTTTAAGGGAAATTGAAGTTGAGTGCATCTTGGACTAAAATGGATTCTAATTAACCATTGCAAATTAGACTATAATAAATATAGTCATAGAAACAAAGCAGAGACAGGCAGGAAAGCGATGCTAAAGGAAAATGGGGCTTAAAAAGAGGTGAAATTTCTAAAATTGAGGTTATTAAAAACAAAATGGCAAACAATTCTAATAAAAAAAATGGAGGACAGTAGAAAAAAAATAGATCATTCCTATTTGTGAAAAGTAGAAAACAATTATGCACATGGGTTATTTCTAAAGACAAGTATCTACAGGTCCCCACTGTATAAAACCTGAATAGTTAAAGAAAATTTGGTTGGGGATGAGTTCAGAGTAACATCCAAATCATGGGTGGGTTGCTGCCAGCATTATTGGTGCATGCACACATTTTGCTCTGTGTGTGTGCACATTTGCAAATAAAAAGGTACGAGTATGTGCAAAACCTTAAAAAATGAAAAAATATAATTTTTACAATGAAAATTATTCTGTGCATGCACAGAACTAAAAAACATGGTGCTGCCATAGGAGAACTGGTTCGGGCGTGTGGCAGGCCTGGGTTGCTGCTGGTTCCAGTGACCCAGGCTGCCAAGTTACTACCTATTCTTCTGAACCAGTCCAAACCAGTAGGAATCCACCTGTGATCCAAATTGGGTAGAAAAATGCTTAGCAAATTAGGTTCATGTTGCAATTAAGAGGAGCGTGTGAAAGCATGATCATCAGCAAATTCTTATCAAACTGGAGTGAGGTATCTCATGGCCTGCTCCAAGGTCAGTCAATCCCTCCTATATTCATCCTTTGATAAAGAGGTGATGGGAATACTTGCCAAGTTTGAAAATGAAGAAAAGTTTAGTGGGCTTTCTAACATCCAAGAAAATAGGAGTGATCTTGGTTAGGGACAGAAATGCACTAAAGACAAGAGAACAATATTTAATAGCAGTAAATGTAAGAAACAAACTCAAATAAGAAGTGTAGTATGGGCTAACAATATTTTACACCAGGGGTGACAAACTGGACTTCTTCAAGGGCTGGATCAGCATTGTAGTTCTCTGTGGGTCAGGGGCGACAGTGGAGAGATGGGACGGAACCTCCTGTAGCACCCCGCTGGCCAAAACGGGGCATGGGGGTTATGCGCACAGCCCCTTCTGCCTCATTTTTTGACCTGAATGGCCTCCTGCAACACTTTATTGGCCAATATCGGGTGGGGGGGTCACACTCACAGCTCCCTCGTGCCTCATTTTTGCCCTCCATGGCCTCCTATAGCACTCTGCCAGTCGAAAACGGACTGAAAACAGCCAAATTTTTGGCCAGCAGAGCACCATGGGACAGTCCTTTGATATTTCCAGGCTGGCCCCACAGGCTGGATTTAAGTAACCCATGGGCCAGAGCCATCCCACATGCCTTGAGTTTGACATCCCTGTTTAAGACTTAGACACCATAGTTGATTACAGACTGTCAGTGTATAGGACGACTGCAAAAGTTGTTAATGTCATTTTAGGCTAAAATGCAATGTTAACATAACGTAAGCTTCCAAATCATGGACATTTTTATGGAGCCTTGATCTGACTGAATAGATTAATGATTCCTTAACTAAGGAATAAATGGTGGCATTTGTACATAAATAGTCTGTTATGCTTTTTTATATACCATATTGTTTGGACTATAAGACACACCAGTGTATAAGATGCATCAAGATTTTGAAGAGGTAATTAAGAAAAAAATGTTTTTGTCCTCCCTGGCCCACAGGAGCACTCTGCAGACTTTAATGGGGCTGGGAGAAGGCAAAAACAGGCAGAAAGTTGGCTGGTTTT